AACAACACTGTGGTTTACGTCTGGTTATGCTTAGCCACAAAAACCACTTGACTTTTGGCTTAAGATGCCCAGTTCCGGTGTCACAGTCGCTGCTGAAAATGCCGCCTTCGTCTTGCTAAAACACAACCAGATTTGGTGGTACGATTGCTGCCACTGCTGTCTCACCAAGAACAACCGCTTTTGGTGCCACAGTCACCACTGGAAATGCAGCTATGTCTTAGTAAAATACACCCAGTCCTGGTGTCACAATCATCGCTAAAAATGCCACCTATGTCTGGCCAAAATCATCTAGCTTTGGTGGAACAATTCCCTCTGGAAATGCTCCTGCTGTCTCGCCAAAAACAGCTTTTGGTGACACAATCGCCACTGGAAATGCAGCTTTGTCTCACTAAAATACACCCAGTCCTGGTGTCACAATCAGTGCTAAAACTGCCACTGCTGTTTCGCTAAAATAAACACTTTTGGTGTCACAGTTGCCACTGGAAATGCCACCTATGTCTGGCTAAAAACAACTAGCTTTTAGGGCTGTCCCGAATACCATTAACATTCGGACCTTTGGCAGAATTTATAACGAATATTCGTTCACAGCAGGGGGGTGCGCCGGCGGCGGACTCCAGGGTTTTTTCGGACCTAATTGTATTGCGGAGTTTTGCACAGCGGCGACCAGATCTTTGCTCTCAAACCACAAAAAAATGTGATGGCACAACAGTCTGCTTCAGTACATTATTCTATGATTTCTTTTGATTTTCACATTGGCTAGTCATCCTGTTTAATTTGTCTTCTGATTAAATCGGAACCGTTGAAACAAGTTGTAGGAAGCCTCTGCAAGTAATTGGTTGCTGGCAGACATTCTGTGCTGTAGTCAAAACTTCATCACTTTAGAAACGTATCTATAATATTAAATATTCATGACTACATTGGTCACAACAGCAAAGTTAATAAAGCATCTTTAGGTATAATTCATTTGTAGCTTAAGAGTCAAAAAAAGGCGAGGTTATGTGTCATCAGATCTGATTGACAGTGACCAAACAACACACACGTTACTAAATCCTGACTAGTCCATGGACGTATGTGACGTATGTGACATGACCTTATCCATGCCCACTTCAAACCAGTGAAAAGAGCACAAAGAGAGAAGTTTTCTGGGCCTTCGAATGTGAATGTTTTCTAGTTTTCTTAATATTTTATGAAACGCAATTACATTTTGGTTTTGGACTGTTGGTCAGCCAACACAAGCGATCTGAAAACATTACCTGGAGCTTTAGGAAACTGCAATGGAAGGTTGTCACTATTTTCTGCAACCATAGTACATTGAATATGTTTGTGTTTTGGACTTTTGGTCTGACAAAACAAGACATCTGAATGAATCCCAATGAGCAGTGGGAAACTGTGATTAGTAAATGATAGAGAAAATCATCTGTATATTTATTAATACCGAAAATAATCATTAGTTGCAGTCCTAATAACAACAAACACCAGGATTGTTTTGCTTGTCCCCCCTCGCCACTTGAGCTCTTAGAAGTGGGGAGAAGACAACCTTCATAGTTCCTAATTATTATGAATGTATCAGCAGTATACCACAGTGTGCCCAAAAATCAGTTAATTAAAAAAAGGCTTTTGAGTTAACCTGTAGTGCACCCCTGCATTGAAAATTATACACCTGTGTGCTTAAATGGGCCATGTGAATAGGTGACAATAACAGGTATGCTATTATACTGCAGATTTTTTGGCACAACAGGTAGGAAACCCCACATTAAATGATGTGAATGGAGCGCAGAGACCCCGGGCCTTTGTTGGCTAACACTTGTTGTACTGCCAGCATGCTTTTTGAGAAGCCAGGTTTGTTTTTTATTGTTGCCTGTGAAACTAGCGAGTCTGACATTTTGGTTCACACTCGGGATAAGGTGGAGAAAAAAATGCCGCTTTCAAGTTGGCATTAGTGCGTCAGCCCAGGTTTAAATGTTTGGAGCCCGGCCCCGCTGTCAAGATGAATGGTGGGTTTTTCACAGAGTCAGATGATGGAGAATCCCATTGTGAGGAACAGCACACCGGCCGTGTCCACTGTGTGATGTTTCACCTCAGGCTAGAAGGATCAAAGCACCACCTGCGGACCACAGGAGTTCCTCCTGCACAACACAATGCTTCCTTCCATGTCAAATATCATCAGTTGAAATGTCAGAGATCTTCCTCTGGCTTTGGGTAACCATACACTGTATACATACCTACCTATCCCCTTACATGTTGAAATGAGAAGATGCGGCAGGTATGTATTTGGTTAATGTTTTCACACTTGCCAGCTCACTGCACGCTATAATCTTGCCATATTTACCTCAAGCTTTCTCCAAGGCAAGTAGCCATTAAGTCTACAAGAGCTTAACATTACAGCTTGAGTCACACCGCTCTTTCTGTAATGCTGCCGACCACACGTTTAAGACTCGAACAAACCTTTAATCAAGAAGGTGACAGAGAAGAGTCATTGTTATGTAGGGTCATTGGCTAAATGACTGTTTTCTCTCTGAGTGCCACGAGGTGAGCTTGGAGAGTGGGGAAATGGTAGCTTAAGACTGGCAGAGGATAAAACATGAAATATGTGTGGAGTGAAAGGAAGGCTTCAGTGGGAGCGTTCCTCAATGGCTGACACATGCTGGAAAGGCTGGCATACCTTGGCATTCACTGACACCCATCGCTATTGCCTTTCTTTCCCTGTGTAGCATGACTGCATATTCTAAAGCTGACGACCGACAGACCTTGAGGTAATAAAACATAACAAAATAGCATAACAGTAAAGGCGCTGGGAGGCAGACGGTCTTTTCAGCCATCTGAGATACGATATGAAGCTCCCACCAATGATGCTTTATCAGAACTGGCTGCGACTAATGATTCTTTTCATTATCTATTGTCGGTTAATGTGATCGTTTAGTCTATGCAATGTTAAAAAATGGTGAAAAAGGGCCCATTTTCATAGGCAGCTTATGAGACAGTTCGCCCCTGGGTACAGAAACACAAAGGGCCCTAAACCCTCTCCGACACAGGGGTAAGACACACAGACTTTGAGGTGGCTTTGCATCATGTTTTTGTGGGTTTGTGTCTCTTTGCAGCTCCTCTGCACCTCTCTGTGGTCTTCTTGTGTCTCTTTGTGGTCATTTTGAGCCTCTTCCTGGTGGCTACGTGTTAATTTGAGTAATATTTTGCAAGTGAAGGCCAGGGGGACCCCTTGACTCTTTGGGCCCCTGAGCCTGTTTCAGAGCCCAAGTGTCTTCTGATGTCTTGTTTTGTTTGACCAAAAATCCAAAAGATATTCAGTTTACAAAGATTTAAGGGAGCAGAGAATGCCTGGTATTGTTTTTTACTATTCTTGCTTGAAAAATGACTTCAAAGATCAATTATCAAAACCGATAGTTTTTCTGTCTCAGAGGCAGGATCATTTCAAACATATAGCTAACTAGAAGAGTATGGCTTTAGAGTGTGATCATAGGTGTAGATTTCTGGGGGATACGCAGGGAACACATCTCCATCGATAATTAGAACGTGTATTTTTCCCTGCCAAGAAACACATGAAAGTAGCAGAGCACTTGTGGTGAATATGGTGATTTTTTTGTGCACAAATCAGTGCATAAAAATTCACCATATCTGTTGCAGGAAATTGTTTGACACTCAGAATTTTCTGGCGGAGGACTCCCCCACCCCCAAATGCTGAAATGAAACCTACGCCCTTGACTGTGATCGCAAAAATCATTCAGTATAAAACTGTAAAACCTGATTTTATGAACAGTAAATGAAAGTGCAGCAGCTCCTTTGTTCAACAAACACAACAAGTGTGTGAATGTTTAATGTGAGGTCTTCCTTCCTATCTTTTCTAAAAAGGCTGTGGTGTCTTTGCCAGGATTAAGACATCCAGCAGCTAAGACGATATAAAAGAAGGTGAATCACTGTTTGATGAATACAGCACACACAAAAGGGGTTCAGTTTTTCTTTTGTGTTGTTTTTATGTCTCTGGATTTAAGCTAGCCTTGCACACTAGGCCCAGCTCACATGCATGTGGCTCTAGCATGCACCTGGGTTTGTATAAGCAGGCAGATGGCCTTGTTAAACGCCTATGCGTGTGTCTCTGCTACTGGTTGGGTGAATGGAGGCCATCTGGGATTGGCCAGGGCTTCTGTGAATGGAGCCGGGGAGCGCCATTCAGCACCGCGGACAGCTCCGCGCCACTGTGGAGCTGTCCGCGGTGCTGAATGCAGCCCTTATGGCACCGCGTGCTCACAGCGGCCGTTTCCCGGACACCCATTACAACCCACTCTGACCCACCTGCGTGCGCTACGAGCTGGTAAACAGTGCATGGCAATCAAACAGCGAGCCCGGGCCTAGCCGACATGAGGCCTGCAGCGCGGGGCCTGGTAATGAGCAAACACAAGTCGAAGCGAAGAAAGCCTTCCGCCACATTAGGCAGGGAAACCACCTCTTGACTTTAATGAAACGCTCTCGATATGGAGTGGGCGGCCATGATGAACACCTGGCGGACTGCGACAACACACACAGGACACACAGGCTCCAGGAGTTGTTTGCATATGCCAACAGCCTTCCTTCCTGCTCATTAGATTGTTGTAAACGCCAGGCTGTAAACGCTCGAGCACCAGAGCAGCTCTAACAAGCCCATATCTAGGTTATCGGTGGCTGATCAGGCGGATTATGGGCTGCAATGTCAAAGAACAGCGCGTGGACTAAAAGGAGAGATATGTAAAAGAGTGTGGATGCTGAAAAGCACGAGCAGGGCCTCCATCTGCACATTAGCATGGGGCCTAAACACAATGAGGAGATGAATGAACATGAGGCCCGGAGCCGGGAGTCTCCTTGAATCTGTCATCCGTCTCCATGGCGACAGGAGGAGGAGGACCAAAACTGGCATCTATCCGGGCCCAAATCAACAGATGGCCACCACATCAACCCCCCCCCTCCCTCCCTCCAAACACCCCCCACCCGCCCCCTTCCCTCTTGCAGCCTACCTTGCACTGCTCCATGCACGTCCTCACTGAATATTCCCCCGGCTCATATTTCTGAGTCAGGAGCTCAAAGTCCTCGAATTTCTCCTGGGCGTGCTGGTCGTAGCGCTGGTACGCCTGGACGCACAGGCTGCATCTGCTCGTGTCGCCATCGCCGAGCACGTCGAGGCTGCAGTTCAAATTGTCCGGACTTGTCGAGCCGTAAAACAAATCCAGCAGAGAGTAGGAGTTACAAAAGGAAAGGTACAAATCGCTCATATTTACAGCCCGCGTCCCCTCTCTGTCGGAAAGGCCCTCGCACAAATCGTCGGCATCTGCGAAAGTAAAGCAGTATTTAGATAAACTATCCTGGTGGTAAGTTTCAAGCGGACACAAAGTAGAGTTTCCTATAAAAATATCATCTGTGTTTCCTCTGAGGCTGCTGTGTGCTGAGTGGGTCTGGGGTGAGAGGAGGTGGGAGGATGCGAACTTGACCGGGGTCCGGGCCAGTGTGGCCTCGGCGCAGAACCACAGGTGATCAGAGAGGAGGATGGTTAAGAACAAGAGGGATGCCAAGGACAGTCGCCATCTCTGCGCCCTCTCTGAGTCGGTGAATGGCTTTTGGTTGTCGCGGGGGGGCTCTAGCCAGATTTGGAAGCCGTCGTCATCTTCTTGCTGCCAACACGTCCCAGCACCCCTGGTCATATTTTGGGAACCGGCCGACTCCACCGTGGGGGCTCCTCTGCCGCAACAGTCATTGACGTGGGGTCCGCTTCGCGTTTTCTTCCCCTCAAATGTCAGGTGGTGGGTTGTCCCGGCTTGCCTTTGCGTTCAGCGGTAATTCCCATTAAAATGAGCGTGGGCCGGATGGGAAATTAGACGCTGGCGACCACGGGCCGCATCCTCCATGGCTGACCGGTGAAGCCGCTGTCCTCCCGCCCGCCCTGAGCTCCGCGCCGCGCCGCTCCGCTCCTCTGCGTAGCCTCGACTCCGTTTTTAGAAACACTCACCGACGCGTTTACGTTTTCCCTGGCCTCGGTCGTGCAGGGACAAGGGCGCTATCCTCTTCCAACATGGCGAAGCTGTCTGTCTTTGTGTCGGCGGATGGGCCTACAGCCTGTAACAGACCTCTTTTCTTTTTCAAGCCCTCACCGTCTTCATCTCGCTGCCGTTGTCAAGTTGCCGCCATGTTCGCCAAGAGACGGTGTGTGTTTGCAGGAATCTGCGTCAAGGCAGCGGCAATAACCACGAGCATTTCCGGTTGTAGCCTTCAAAATAAAGATCGCAGTCTGATGTGTTTTGTTTTTCTGCCATTCTGTGTGATTTGAAAATTGATGTTTCCTGTGTCCTGTTTTCATTAATATTAGCAGCAAGGGCGTATAGGTTTGTTTCAACAATATTTGCACAACATATCTGACTGTATATAATACTTACTCTTTTTTTAATTTATTCTTGTTTATTTTAGTTTAGTCAGTGTGTATTTTAGTGGTGTCAGAGCAACTTGCAAAGTAAGAATTTCACATTTATGTTTGCTGTGTACATGATAAGAAACCTCTTGAATCTTGAATAGCTATGAGCTTTTCCTGCATCAGTTTATGGTGTAAATGCTTCTAATTTTGTCAAAATTAAAGTCATCTGCTACTTTAATGTCTTTATGGGGGTAAAAAGCACATGTTCTGAATATTGAGTTTGCCCCCTGCGTCCTTCCTGAAGTCTGCACATGCCAGTAATATTGTTTCAGTTGAAGCAAAACAATCCAGCATTTTCACAGGGAAAAAGTTCAAGTTAGAGAAGTCAGAGCAAATAAACATAATTATATTTTTGCTATCTCCTGAGCCCAGGTTAGGAGCCACCGATATACCAAAGTCCAACTTTCATTTGCTCAAAATGCATTTTAATTGTTTTGTTATAATGTTAAAGCTTTTAAAGCAAATATATGCTGACTTAAAGCCTACTGGTGCTTTTACAAGTGTGCACTACTTAGCTCAGTATATCACTAAATAATGTTTACTGCGTTTTGCAACACAGCAAAATTATATTCCATAAATAGTGTGTACAAATAACTGCATGCATAGTTTGAGAAGCATATTGTATTTTACTTTGAAGGTCAAATCGCCTTACATCCGGTATTATTCTATCTAATTTTGCTACCTTCACAAACGTCTCCATCTCTGACGTTATGCGCGCGCATCGCAGTCACCGCATCCCTCGGCGCTGAGGTGCGTCAAGTCAGAAAGAGCCCGCAAAAATGTCACCAGAAATGTTTTAATTATGACTTCAGAATGAAAGCCTGTGATTTCAGTCTCCAGAATACACACAGTCTCAGCTGTTTGGGTGTATACTAGAAAAAATAAGATTAAACAACACCTGCAAGTAAAAGCATGCAGGTGCGCAGAGGATGTGAAACAATAACGTGTTGACTGGAGAAGGAGAGTTTGTGATGACTGTTTTATTTTGAAATTTCCACCAGCAGACATTTCTATACTCTATATTGCGGTGGTCTTGACACTGTGCCAGTCAGACAGGTTGGTACTCACCTGGTTTCAGCCTCAGGCAAGACGCTCTTATCAAAAGACAGGAGCCTGTTTCCTCTTTAAAGGACAATACCGACGCTTTTCCATGTTTCAATCCGTTAAAATGAAATGTACTTTATAAAACAGCCACCACATGTCAAAAGCACAGGCTACTGTAGTGATTTAGATCTCAGAGTGTGTTTGCTCTCATTTATTTCTTTATACATTATGAAAAAACTACCTGCCAAGACTTTTTTTCCTCCTAAAGTTGTGTTATTGTTGCATGGTGATGCAGAGCAGATGTTTAAATCAATGAGCGCTTACAACTCCATTATCACACTGAGACAACTCTGACAATAATTAAAGCACACATGGTGTTTATTCAAGCCAGTCTCTGCCAGTGAAGTGGTGCAGTGGTTGAAAATCAGATAACAGGATAGGAACCAAAGATGTTAGTATTGGTTAATTTTGTTATCAATAGCTTGACACCCATGAATCAGTAATTAACCAAATAATTTTAAGAAAAAAGGAGGTCTTTTCCTTTAATCCAGCCCTCCATTGATCCAGTAATTTTTTGTTGTTGGCTGTGCTAACAGACAGCCGGCTAGCTGGTTTACATGAGGACACATAATGGCTACTTCCTACTCTCCTGTCTCCACTGGTTAGCTAATGTTAGCCTTGGCTGCTGGTCTGGAGGGAGCTAGCTAGCGGCGGCACTCGTTCTGCAGTTACTACTGGCTTGCTGCAGAAACATTGTGGCCAACCTTTGGTCTCCCGCCAGGTAGCTCTGATGTGAAAGTGTCTACATTTTGAGCTGCAAAACCCCTTTAGCACTGTTAGCTATGTTAGCACTACTAGCCGTGCTGACACTGCTAACAGAGCTCACAGTAGTTAACAATGCTAAATAGAGAGAACAGCTCATTGAACTACTTACTCACTGCTGTTCTGTGCTCAATGCCGCTCAAAAATATTCTTGACCATTAACCCAACAGTGGTTAAGTGTTAATATCCCTGACAGGAACCAGACAAAACACACTGTATTTATGCCACAAAAAGCTGTGTGTGGTTTTTCAGATTTTCCTCCAGATGATTTTACCTCTAAGACCTGGAATATAGATATTTGTTTTACTGCCCAGAGTCAGGAAATTCAGAGCTAGATGAGCCACAGTTGGGTGAGGATGTGTTGAGGACGAGTGATTTGTCCATCTGACATTTCAACAACAACCAGTTTACGCAAAAGTGGATGTTGGACAAATACAAACAAATATTAATGAACTTTCTGAGCAGTTATTGGTGAGGCTTAAGATGGAGCTCGATTCTCTGTTGTTTTGATTGAATTTCTTCCTAGAGGATGGGCCGTGCTAATTGCTGCAGACAAACCTCCCCTGCAGCCATGAGCCGCCTGTGTTTAGTCTAATTTTTTTCAGCTAAGTGCATACAGCCGCTGGTTGTCTCAGGGCTGCTTCCACACCATTTGTTTCTGCTTGTGTCCAGCGTGCTCTGCTGGTACCATCTCTCCAGTCGCTACAGCCGGCTTAATTAGAGCATTTATCCCATTAGGACATGGTATTTCTGCAATGCTAGCTTTCAGTGGCTGTTTGCTGTTTCCATCTCCTGATCCTTAGGACTGATAATCTGCTCCAAGACAAACAGTTGTGCTGCAGCGACACAATGCATCCTACACGCAAAGCCACGCTGAAATAAGCACTAGTTGAATACCTCTAATTAAGGCCTGTCAATCAAACACTCACTCGCATCACCTGGAAATAGTCCAGAGTGGGCGATGGGTTACAGAGTGCTAACTGAGGCACAGTATTGATTTGTTTCCGGTAATGAAGATCATTTTGTTGTCTTTGACAAAAGCTGTACAACTCTTACATAAGCCAAAGCCAAGAATGTCTCAAAGGTACAATTTTAATTAATTTCTTTAACAAAATTACAAACCCTACAGGGAACACTACAACATGTCGACGAGAGCCATTATTCACAGTATATGATTGAGAACAGGTACCTCATCACTTTTACTTTGGAAATGTATTCATGCGGCATTTACGCACAACAATGCCCAGGGCACCACAGGCAGCTACCTGCACCCTAGAGGCGATGGTAATGAAGGTTATAACATATCAATGAGTCCCAAGGCGCATTGGTGACATTTTTGAAGACAGGAAAACACGGCCACATCTTTGCTGGAGGGCCTTGAGCTGAACCGGTTTTAACGTACCCCTGTGGTGTCCCTCGGTCTCTCTCTGCCAGCTGAGTGCATGCCGAAGAGCTGAGGCAAAGGCCATCCCTCCACACAGATGCTTGTTTTAACTTAATCGCCAGTTTTTTTAAAACAAGACTCCAGTCAGAGCAGTTCAGTACTTTAAACCAATTCCAGATATTTATTAGAGTTGTATTCAACATGTGATTACACAGACATAAATGCACAAAGGCACAGGTCAGAGGTCAAGACTCGATACAGTAATCCGATTTATTTGCCTTCACCAAATTCACACACAAAGTTCAGTTTGTTCATCACTAAAAGTACTGCTAGGCCTTAGAAACCTGATGATGGCATAGTGATGTTAAAAGCTTTCTCTCAGTTTGGGCTTCAGATGTAAAAATCTGATCAGTAACTCAGACTGCAGATGTGGAGCTTAAAAAAAGCTTTTAGAGGAAAGGGAGGTCTGATGAAAGATACCATCCAGCTGCATTTCAGAAATGCCGGATTCGATTTTTTTGCAGCTTGACTCATAATAGGGACGACAGTCAGGATACCTCGGCCTCAGCTGCTTCAATTTGGACCATTCGAGTCCCCCAATTCTACTTAACTACAACACCACATTGATGGAGTGTCCCCTCAAAATTGAAAAATAAGAATAGGCCTATTTTAGACTGTTAATGGTGGAATATCCCCTGGCTGCTGCGCTCTCATCAGATTCCCCAATGTGGACTGAAATTTACACCAGTATCATATCTAACTACAGGACAACAAAGCAGCTTCATTTAAGAGACAGTATTCTTATATTCCCAGATTCCAGTTCTCAGAATGAAACCCCTCAATCTGTTAAAGCAGAAAACCTATTTTCCTTTCCATAAAATGTGTTAATAACTAAAAAGTTTAAAGAGAGGGTAATATCTAAAAAAACAGAATAATCAGCTTCACTATTTGAATATTTCATAATGCAATTCTAACTTTTAAAATTCAATATCCAATCATTGCCTTCCGGTCTTTTACATTGGCCTATTAACTTAAAACTAATATCAAGCAGCCTTAATCACTCATTAAGAAGACCAAAAATAAATCTCATAAAGTTCGCATGAAAGCCCTGACAATTAACAAACCTGTAATGTACAGTGTAGTTATAAATCACATCACTTACCTCACCCTTAACAGTGTTTTTGACTGTTTTTACTGCTAATCTTGTTGGAAATTAATTAAAATGCAAGCTATATGAGTATTTCTCTCCAGTGTCAACCTAAGCCTTGTGTATGTATCACCAGAAAATCAAACTAAGTAGTCATTGTCATTCATCAGATACCCTGCTTTGATAGAGTCAGTCACCCATGAGTCTCTTACGATCTTAAATTTCTTCCGGAAGCAGCGCCTCAGAGTCCTTAACTCCAGAAGTCTTGTTTCCTCTGTGATAATGACATGAGAGACTCCTTCCTTTAACTTCTGCACCACCTTCCCT